AGAAAGAGAGACAGAGGGGAGGGAGGAGGAGAGAGAGGGAGAAAGGAACAGGGAGATGCGGGGAGAATACCAACACCTTCAGAGCTCCAGTGGCCAAACGCAGAAAACATCGAAATCTTCTAGAAGGAACAGTCTACATCAGATGCTAAGATGAATTCCTGAGACACCAAAGAGTGAGTGACATGTGTCCCCAGGATGCAGGGAGCTCAGCTGAGAGCCACTTCCACACATGCAGCAGAATATGCTTTGATAGATGTTTTTGTTGCTGTGGAAGGCAGGATTGAACCCAGCATGAAGGATGGATAGGCACCTCCTAAGTATGGACACACATTTCTGTCCTCTTCTTTGCAAATATATAGACTATTATGGCAGAAATGAGTCATTCCAACTCAGAGCACCTTTTCTGCTTTTGATAAATTAGTTGAATAGCTACTTCTAAATCTAACCCAGAATTTCTTCAGGTCATAATTTCACCACCTCCAGAGCACACTGGGCTTTTGTGACCCAGTGATTTAGGTGATGCCCTGCCCCTCCTCTGAACCTACCCAGCCACACCACTACATAGTATCCCATAGGTTCACTCTGTGGGAGCCAGAGTCCAAACCCCCAAAGTATACTTTCTCTTTTCTTTGCTCTGGGAAGAAATTACCCCCTCATGGTTCTGATTCAGAGCAGTAAAAAAAGGGGAGGGGTAAAAAGCTGAAACTTTTTTCTTTAATCTCAAGAACCTTTTCCAAAAAGTAGTATTTTGCCAAAATTGCCTTATATTTTTAGCATAATTCAACATTCTACTGTATTGTGAAAAGAAATTTTCCTCTTTGAAACAAAAATCTGGACCACATTAATAACCAGCTAATGGCATAAAGGATGTGTTTGCAGAAGCACTGTGACTGTGGCTAGCAGCATCCCTGGGAGCTGGAACAGGGATGTGAAGAGGGGTAATCGTAAGGCCAAGTATCCACCCCAAGTGAAGTTCCATTCCACGCATAGATTCCATGAGCCGGCTTCTTAACTGATGCCCAGCCCAGGGTCTGCCCTTAGGCACCTCACCTGTAAAATCACACACAGGGTTGAGATGAACAGAGTTAGTCAGCCATCTCCAAACAGGAGGCAATGAACAGAGCTAGTCAGCCATCCCCGAACAGGAGGCACTTAGAGAGCAGCTGCTAATGTTAGCATTGACTTTGTCAGGTCTTGGTCTTGTCCTCAGTCCCAGCCAGGGTTCAGCAAGGGGCAAGGCAGCTTTGGAGAGAAATGTGATGCTGAGTTTCACATCCAGCCCTGCCCACTTCTAGCAGCATAAACTTGGCCAACAACATGAACTGTCCTGGCAGGAGTGAAGACAGTCTAAAGAGAGATGCCTATGCCCTTGGCACCACTGTAGCAATGTACTGCAAGGAATCTCGTGGTTCAGGGAAGCGAAGGCTGAAGCCAGGGTGCCAGCTGGAGGAGGTTCTGGTTCCAGGGAAGGAGATTTCACTGAGTTCTGGCAACTTACCAGACCAACTTGCAGGAGAAACTGGAGCCAAGGCGATGATGGATCAGTGTTGGGTGGGGCTCCTCTTTAACCAGGACTGCTTAGTTACACACAGCTCTTGTGCCCTATCTAAACCTAACCTCATGTTGAGACCTCAAAGATTGGCTGTGGCTCACTGGACATGATTCTTGTCCCTTTTCTCTATATGGCCACTGAGACACGTCTCTTCCCTCTAAGTCTAACCATCACTTGTCTCTGGATTATAGTTTGAGGATGGGTGTCTGAGCCTAGGTAGTTGGACCTGCCAGGAATCATGCTCTGACCCTAACAGCTCCACTGACAACCTAACTCCAGCTTGACTTTTGTCTTCTGTAAAGAGAAATTAAACAGGCCCATGAATGGCCCCAAAGACCTGACTGTGTAACTGGGCAAGGTAAATCCTCATTCACATTAGTTCCTTCCTTCCTCTCCACCCCCTCCCCCCTGAACCTGGTCTTGTAACACCCTCCTTCTGCAGAGCCAGTGATTGGTACCATGACTTCCAACACCAGAAACAAGTAAGAGAGGTGGTGAGCAAGCATGTCCACCTTAGCTCTGTGCCTTCTCTAGGCTGGCACCTTCAGGGAGCAGGGCTATCCTAGCTATATGCTGCAATCATGAAATGCCATAGGCAGGGTTATCTCTAGGAGGCTGGGATTTGGTGGAGGCTGTTCTCTGCTTCCAAGATGGTACCCCTCAATGTCTTCCTCTCATGTGGAAGAAGGTAGACGGATGTGAGCAGTCTGCCTAGTTCCCTGCATCCCAGCATGAGGTTTGGAATCCCACTTGTGATGGATCCACCCTCATCATTTGATCACCCCATAAAGGCCTCACCACATTGAGGGTTCAGCCCCAGCACCTTGGTTTAGGGAACTGTATTGGGGACCCACCACAGACTCGGGGCCCAAGAGATGGAGTCTCTCACCCTACTTTTCCTACAGTTTTGCCCCTGAGAATCACAAGGAAGGGACAAGTGTTTTTTCCCCAGATGTCGCAGACACTGTGGGTTCATTGAAGTCTATGAAACAGAATAATTCAAGTGGCTTCATGATATCCTTTGGGAAATGAGAATAAGCACATAGCAGTTCAGAGGGTGGAAAAGACATCCCCAGACTGCTCCAGGAGTGCCCTGGGTGGGGTAGAGAGCCTCAGGACACCCTGCACTCAGTAAATATCCACTGTTGGTCCTCTGTCTATCCACAACTCCCTGAATTCGGGGGATGCAAGAAAACCAGCAATACCCACCCCCACATAGCTTACCCTCGATGGGGGGAGAACTAACTAACAGGCAGTTCTACGCTCTATGATGCATGATGATACGCAGTTAGAGAAGAGTGCATCAGGGCTGGGAGGCGCCCTCTCAATACAGGAGTCAGAGGAGATCTCTGTAAGGAAGGACCTGTAGGCAGAGATGGTAAAAGCGAGAAAGCAGGATGTGTGGGTGTCCTTGACAGCTGTGCCAGGAAGACAGACGATGGCATGTGCAAAGACTCTGGGGCACGGTATTAGGACCAACCATCAGGGAGGTAAAGCTGGAGCAGATAAAGAAAAAAAGGAAATGACCTCGGAGAAGTAAAACGGACCGAAGATCAGCCACGGGAAGGAGTCTGGCTTCACTAGAGCGACTTTGGACATGCATGTGGGTTTTGAACAGAACAGTGGCTTTGCTTAACAGAGTCGTGCGGTCTTCTCTCCTAAGAATAATCCAGGGCAGTAGGAGAGATGTGGGAAACTCAAAGGAAAAGCTACTCAATGATCTAGTGACCCAGGCAGAGCATAACGGTGGCTTTGACAAACACAGTAGCCTTCAAAGTGGTGACAGGTGTCAGACGCAGGCTGTCTCTCAAGGTAGGGTCAGCATAACTTCCTGACGGAGCAGGTGTGAGTGGAGATGGCTAGATGAGCCCTCCTGGCTGCAGGTGTCTGGGTTGGCTTGAGTCTCCAGAGAGATGGGGCCCCAGGGCAGCAGAAGCTGTGAGACCCTACCATCTATGAAAGAGAGTTAGCATGCAGGCAGAGGTTCGCACAGTGAGCCACATTCCACTCCATCACAAACCAAACATCCCCACTTCTCAAATAAAGAAACTTAACAGTTGAAGGTTTGAAATTCTGCTTTAAATGGCTCATCTTCTGTGTTGGCATAGCCTCTCTGGCAGCAGAACCCCTGAGTCTCCCCGATCCCCTTCACACCTCACAGACTCTGTGGACAAACAGAAAGCACCTTTCTCAAAGCAAGGCGCCCTTCACAACCCACAGTGCTTTGAATGGATGCTTTTATCATTTATAGCAGCCGTACAAAACCACTATTGTCCTAGCTTTACAACCACAGAGACACCGTGAGTCGAAACGTGTGTCACTGGAGACTCTGGAATGTCGAGTACCTAGACCCTTAAGCACTGTAAGCTCCAAAACCACCGTCTTCGGTCAGAGATTAAATGAAATTGATGAAAACACTGTTATTGCTTCTTGGGAAATGCCACTAAAAACACTGCCATCTTGTCTTTGATCAGTGGTAGGATGAAGCAGTCAGGCCTGGCAACTGTAACCAGGAAGTCTTTGAGAGTTAAAGGGAGTTTATATCCAGGATCACATATATCCAAAGATTGGTTTGAACTACCCATGAAGTCAGGGATGGCCATGAACTTGGGGTCCTCTTGCTTCTACTTCTAGCAGCCAGCAAGTCCCAGGAATCCTCCTGTCCTAGCCAGCACTCTCAGTTCTAGGGTCACAGGCAACTGTAGTGTACAACCACATCTGGGTTTTTACATGGGTGCTTAGGATTCAAACTTGGCTCCTGGTGCTTGCTCAGGAACCATCTCCCTAGCCCAGGAAGTCTTTTATTGAACAAACCCTTTACTGAGAGCCAAGCACCATGTCAGGGGCCACAGAGGCTGGAGAGTCCTGGGAAGCCTGGCATCTCACTGAGGTCTAAGCAGGACACAAGGAACAGTGACTACACCCAGCATCTATCTTCTGGTCTTTCTGTTTTTGTACAAGGCTGTACCGATTAGTGAGGGTAGATCGTCTGCATACCAGAAAAAAAATGTATCCTTGTTACCAGGATCCATATTTTCCTTACAAACTGGGGGTTTACAATTCTCACACACAAGAGTGTGCCACGGGAGAGGGAGGAGTGTGATAATGGTAAAATGAACCAAAGATAATATTTATCGAAGATTTCGTAGTCCCTTCTCAGTGGTCAGTTTTTAAATGCCTATTCTGCAGAAAAAAATACAGAGCAATAAAGACTGTTTTCTTTTTTTCCTCTCATCTCGACCATGGTGGGGAACTGACTTATCCCCACTTCCTTTGAGACTGACTCAAGTGTCACTTGGGGCAGCAGCAGCAGCCACTGTGGGGTTCTCTCCAGAACGGCTGGCATATAAGTGCTAGGGGCAGAGGAGACTCGTGCAACCCGGCTTTCCAGCCAGCTGGCTAACTTGCTGACTGCTCATTCGCTGTTTCTGTCTCTACCTCCCCACAGAAAAGCCTGGACTCCTACTGCTTCCTTGTCTTTGCCACAGTGTGCATCATGGGAGCTGTCTACTTCTATTTGGTCCTCCCAGAGACCAAGAACAGGACCCATGCAGAAATCAGCCAGGTCTTCGCCAAGAGGAACAAGGCTCAGCCCCCAGAGGAGAAGGCTAACAGCCAGCCTGCACCAGATCCATCCTCCACGCTGGACAGCCATGGCGAAATCCAAATGTCTAAATATGTAATCTCACTATAGGACCCCAAGGCCTTCCCGAAACTTAGAAGGTTTCAGCCGATTGAAGCCATGAGACTCTCATACTGGGGTGTTAGGAAGAAGCTGGGGACAATCAGATCTCACAGCTGTGTCTTCACAGCTACCCCTTCCAAACTCCCTGGAAGCATTCCCTAGGTTTGGTGCACTCAGCATTCTACACGGACCAAAGGTCGCCCTCTTCATGACCGAACCTGTAGTTTTGAAATAAAGTTGGGGGAAAGGGATCGGGTTGCCCACTCAAAGGAAGGACTTTTCATCTGATGGACAATCATTGGAAAGAAAATGACAGACCTGGACTTGTCCTTGCTATGCTGTTGCTAAGCAACCCTGACCTGCCCTTGGCCTCCAGAGTCCTGGACTTGGTCCTGCATGGAGGCTTTCTGACACCCATGGGAAGATTCTAGGTCGACACTAACAAATGCCTGTTGCTAATCTACCTCTGCCCTGTGGACCTGAGGCTTTGGAACACCTCTTACCAGCCCACCACCTTCTGCACCTACCGAGACAGGCTTTGTCCCCAGCGCTCACGGTTTCCAGGTCTGAGGCTGTCTTTAGTTCAGACTGTTACAGGAGAGCACACGGAAGATCAATAAATAATAGTGTTAAGAATTTTTCCTAACGCGAGCTCTCTGCCGACACAAAAATTGCAATCAAGCCAAATCACAACAAGCCAAATTTAAAAAATATCCAGATTTAATGGGATTCCTGTGCTCCTGGGTGGCCCCGAGGGGGAACCAGGAGGCTGCGAAGGCGACCACCACTGTGGGGAGAGGAAAGAGGCCAGGAGGAAACTTGCCAAGAAAGCAGTTTAAGTAGACTGAGGGAGCGGTTTTGGCAGGCTCGTCTTGACCAACACTTGGCGGGCACAGGGAAGGGGCCTCCAAAGATGGAGGCCAGAGACCAGGGCTTACAAATATGAGAAAGAACTTTCTGGCAACTAGGGGGCAGAGACTACAAGTTGAGCTCTGACCACTGAGAATGACACTAAGACTAAACCTAGAATTGATGGAAAAGAACACTGGGATTGATTAGTAATGCCTGCTCTGGATGAAGGAATGAGAGTCTCTGCTCCTGAGCCTCCTGTTCGCAGTGTGAAGGAGATTTATCTTCAGAGGTCACAAGTTGCCTGGAAAGACACTCCTTATCACTCAGAGTGCTCATGTGAAGGCTGGGAGAATCACCTGCCTCAACAGCTGTTAAGGGAGTCAAAGAATCGTATGTACAATAGGGTGTTTGAGTGGGTGTCTGGAGCAACTTTTATCTTGCCATCATTATACATGATTTATGATGTTTGGCTGAGTCTCTTCTTCTGCCCCTAAAACAAAGTACCTATGACAAATGTCATAAGCAAATGGCAGGTTCTTAAACTGGCATTGGTGTGTTTAAGTTTAGAATGCCTTATAAGGCATGGTACCAGACGGGGAAGTCCCCAGGCGAAGCAGCACTGCTGTTTTCCCGCCTACTCTAGACAAGGGTGGACTGATTTTCCCTCACTCTTCATCTGGGCTTCTCCATGGGTGCCTTGCCAGCTCAGGGCACCGTGCCATCCAGCACTGGTTTGGACAGTGTGTGTGCATATGGAGAGAACGTAATACGTGGATTTGACAAGTGCCATCACCAAGGGAGCCAAGTAAATTGCAAAGCAGAAATCCTAACATTTGAAAGCTGTCGTTCACTTGGAAATTTAAGAATTCTGTCAATAAATATTTATTAGCTAGTAACTAATCTGCCTCGGCTGGGTACTGGAGATATGTCTATGGGAAAGGAAACACCCAGCCCTGCCCTACACACTCATGTCTGACGGAGAAGAGGGAGAGTCACAGCACTATTGTGAGGCGCAGTGCCATCCGTACCGGGTGAACAGTGGTGTGGGGACGTCTAGCAGGAGGAGCTGGGTGGCAGCCGAGAAAGGAATGCCTTCCCAGACAAGAGACAGAGCAGAGCCAGGACGAGTGTGACTGTGAGGCCAGAGGACAGTAATTATTTTTGCATGTTCTTATATTTGAAATTATAATGAAGCCACACTACAGACATTTTTTGAAAAATAAATCTCATAATAGAACTGACCATCTCACTGCTTCACTTTTTACACGACTATGTCCATTTGCTGCCTGTTATTAGTCCACTACAAACACAGAATATATAAAGCATGATTGCAATCATATTTCTCTCATCTCCTATTTTTTCCCGCTTGATATTAAATCAAATACATCATCTCAATCCTGAAGACCTTTGTTCACACTCTGGTGTCTGCTGCAGAGAATTCTGCATAGGAAGCTGTTTCTTAGATGCTGGAAGACAGTGAATGGGGATCCAGGAGTCAGAGCCAGGCATTCCCTGAGGGTCTGCAGGCCAAAGTCTTGCTGGATGTCTATTAGTCATTAGCACCCTGCATCCTTGCATGGTCCCCAAGAGAAGCTCAGCTATCATCCTCACTTCTGATTCCCACCCAAGGCTAGGGCTGACCTCACCCCTTTTATGTCCATTATGCCCATTTCACTTCTTCCCCAATCTCCAAACAATGGAAGTTGGTATTTCTTCCCCTCGGAGTCCCTGGAATACGGTAATTCTTTCAACTTCTGGTGCTAATATGTACACACAAGGCCATTTCTCTCTGGCTAATTTTAATTAAAAGCCCAGACACAATCACAGTGTAAACTCAGGCAGACTGAAGAAAGCAGGCAATAAGAAAGCAGTTCGTAGGTGGGGCTCAAACTGTAGCCCTGACTTCCTGCATCTTCTCCTCCCACATCTCCCAGCTCACACTCCAAGACAGCAATGTCCAAAACCACAGAATGGGTACCCAAGAGAAGCTCTGGAAGAAACCGTTACTCTATTCGGAGTGATGGGAGGAAACGCGGGGCCCTGCCTGGAGGACGGGGAACCACTGGAGGTGACAGTAGGAACCACACAGGCACTTAACAAAAAACCCTTCTTTCTGATGAGAAGTTGGGAACATGAGCCTCTAAGGGAATGCTTATTACTCAGCCGTTCTCTCTGCCTCTCTCTCTCTCTCTCTGCCCCCAAGTCCCTCCCTTCCCTCTCCTCCTATTTCTGCTTTGTTTCAGATACAAGCCCACGTAAAATATAACACAATAGTGGGGGTGGGGGAAGCCTTGCGGCTCTGACCAAGAGAGAAGAATGCAAGGGCAAGGGAGTAAAGAGAGCTGAAGACACCCTAAATCTGTGGATGAGATTCTGCACCAGCATGCATCTGATCAGAGGAACTTTGAGAATCGAAATACATGTAGACCCCAGCACAGGCCCATCCAGTTGCCAAGGCACACACACGGGGTGGACCTACAGAACAGCACAGAGACTAAGGTAGGAGTCACCACCCACAAAGCATGGGTAAAAACTTTTTATCTGAATTTAGCCAGGCCAACTGCCTGCTCTCAAATAAAAGCACACATAAAACTTGAATAAGTGTCAGTTACACTATTTAAAACGCACAGGATCAATGTGTGTGTGTGTGTGTGTGTGTGTGTGTGTGTGTGTGTGTGTGTGTGATAACAGGGTTAGAAACTGGCCAAGTAGGACAGAAGCCCCAGAGTGTCAGCTCTAAGAATGTCCTTCCTTTGCAGCTGTTGAAAACTTGAGTTCAGATCCCAGAAGCCATACAAAAATGTGGCTGTGACCATTGTCTTGTTCACCAAAACCCCAGGGTTTTGAGGGAAAAGGACAGGAGAATTGGTGGGGCTCACAGGCTAACAGGACAGCTCCTGTGTCAAAGAAATAGATGAAGAGGGACAAGACACCTAATAGCCTCCTCCAGACCCTAGACCCTACTCACGTGTACAAACACACACCTGCACACACAGGTACACACCTGCACACTCATGAGCACTTAGATAACACTAACCATCTTATAGAAACACAAAAGAAAAAAGAAAAACAGGAAAGGGGAAAAAGAAAAATAGCACCTAGCCAGTTATTCACTGGCCAATTCCAGAACATGATTCAATTGCCCAGCAAAGAGGTAGAGAAAGACACAGTGAGCAATTGGCTGGACTCTGCTTCTGACAGCTGGATTTGGTGTCTGCGGTGAAAGCACTGGCTGAAATCGCTATGTCCCCACAAAGATGAGGGATCTGTAGAAGTGGGACAGAGTCCACTTGCTGGCCTTGAAGGTAGAGGAAGGGGCCTGAGGTAGGGACTGCAGGTAACCTTTCAAGATTGGAAAGGGCAGGGGCTGGATTAGCCCCCTAGACACCCTGAGAAGAGTGCAGCCCAGCCAGCATCTTTACCTGCAGAACTTCTAGTTCCCAGACTGTAAGATAACAAATCTGGGTGGTTTCAGTCCAGGAGGGGAGAGTGAATCACTCCTTTTAAATTTCCATCCTTTGCCTTTTGGTTCGGAAAAGCATTTGCATTGTCAGAGGAAAAAAAAAACATAAATAAGACAAAAATCCAGATTTCCCAATTTCTTATTTCCCATTTTTGTGGATGTATATTTGACGAATAAAGAGTTGTGTAGCTTTAAGGTGTATGGCTTGATGTTTTGAGCTAAGTTTATCCTGTGAGACGAGGGCAGCCAAGCCAATTAGCACAGCCCTTGCCGGACATGGTCAGCATGTTCTTGTCACTTTAGACATGATGTGCACACTTACGATCTACCACTTCTTATACTTCAGGTTTGCAATGCACTGCTGTCTGTTAAGCTACCATTGTGGACAATGTTTATTTTACATTACTGAAGCCTTGAACCATTTCACCCACCTCTACCTCCCTCTGCCACCACTAACCCCGGTGGCTGCCATTCTCCTCTCTGCTAACTCACTGTGTTTGTGGTCATTTGTTACAGCAGTGGTAGAAATACAGGGCAGATGTTCTAGATCTTTGTCCCCATAGTGAGTAAAGAATCTGTGGAGCCCAAGAGGCTTCTTGAGATCTGGGAAGTCTTTGACATGATTCCTCATGGTCTCAACCCAAATTGGTCTTTGCTTAGATGGCACATCTTAGCTACTTCTCCTTGCAGACACTTTGAAGAATGTTTCCACTGCTGGGAATCCCAGAAGTGATGGCTTCAGATAGAGCATCTTTAGTCTCCATGGCGTAGCAGGCACCAGAAACTCTTACCTTATTAGGGAAGCAAAATAAGACTGGGGATGCAGCTGCAGTAATATTGCCCAGCGTCTTAGATACAAAGCTAGAGCCATGCCTTCAGGGGGCTTTGAGGACCATGCCCCAGACCTCACATGTCCAAGCTGCTATCACAACCCTGGGCTCCCCACCCCTGCATTTGCCACTAATCCTCAATATTCTATCTTGACTTCTATCACTTCTTATTTCCAGTGTCTTTTGTGACTGAAACTCAATCCATACAAGTTGTGACAGGATGGTGCCCACGGCAAATGAGAATCCATGAGGCAAATCCAATTCTTTTGACACATTGCTAGTTATTTCCCTGGGGCACGGCTGCCTGCGGGTACTTGAGGATTCTCAGCGTCTGGTGCCCTGGCAGCGTGCTGGAGCTGTCTGTGGTGCTGACCTGGCCCTGCTTCCTGCCTGGGTTCCCTTCTCCTTCCTGCTCTGAAAAGGCTTTCATGTGGTTGCTTGGGATGCTGGAAGTAGCCTGTGAAGTAAATATTATCGAGATTGTTGTGTATGCTCCAAGATCTATTCTTCCTGCTGAAAGCCTGCCTGGACACAAGAACCACCACCAATTTCTGTTTTTCTTGCTTGGCAAAAGAGCTCACAGAATTAGAAGAAACACCCAACCAGAAATAATAGGCCCTATTAGCTACTCATTCTGCTTAGCAAATTAAACAAAAGTTAATGGCTTAATCAGAGACTAGAGACAGAGCTCAGCAGTTAAGAGTAGGTACCACTCTTTAAGAGGACCCAAAGGTGGCTCCCAGCACCCATGTCAAGTGGCTCACAACCACTTGCAGCCCCAGATCCAGGGATCCTATGCCCTCTTCTGACCCCATATGGGAGGTGCCTTCACATGTACCCCTATACTACATACATATGATTAAATATAATAAAGACAGATCTTTAAGGCTAGTGGCTTAAACAACAGTGGCTTATCCTGTCTTGTGGTTCCATGAATCAGCTGGGCAGCTCTGTTATTCCTCTTGAGCCCGTATCCACAGCTAGAATTTGGTGGATGGTCCCTTGGATCTTGGCTCAGCTGGAGCAGTTGAGACAATTGGACCCTCTCCTTTATGTGACTTTGCTAGGTGATGGGAATGTAAAACTGGATAAAATGAATCCATTGGAGAGAGAAGATGATAGAGGATGCTCAGACATGGTTGATCAGTCTCCAGGGTAAGGAGGACAGTTGAAAAGCAAGTCTAGACTGGTGACGTAGTGGCACAAATGTCATGTGAGTAACCAATCAATTGGATTTAATGCCCACTCTACAAGATGAAATCCATACTGGCACCATTATTAGGCCAAGAACCTATGGCTAGACAGATCTCTAAGAGAGAACCTATTACTATTATTCTGCTAAAGGGACATAGTATTAAACCATCTCCTAATGACTTATTATTATACCCATAGGTTAACACATCTGTCAACCATCAATCAAAGAGTTTCTGTTTGCAGTAGATGGTAATCAACAGAAAAACTCACAACTGGCTCAGGTGCAGACAGTAGACTGCAGAATGCTCAGCCCTAATTGCAGCACAGACCTCACATGTCTCATTCAAGGGTTTATAGATCACTGAAGAAGGAGGAATGGAAAAGTGTAAGAAGTAGAGGTAGTGGGTGACTATTAGGAGACACTGCTTTCTGGACACAGCTAGGCAGCTACACATGTAAACTCACATATGAGCATAAGACCTGCACAATTCCAAGTCAAACCCTATCCTAGCATGGACAGGGGAGTTGGACATGAGGTCCCATCCCCAACCAATGCACTATGGGCAATTCTCTTGCATGAGAAGGGATCAATTTTCTCTAAAAGTCTAGCCCCTTATAAGTTATCCATAGTCCAGTGGAAGATCAAATATGCATAAATATCTGGGCAGCACACATATATAAATTGGTATTGATGAGAAGGGAAAATACACCAAGTTGGGTGTGGAGGGAAGTGGGGAGATCTGAGAAGAGATGG